CAGGGCGTGGGGGGGGGGGGGGAAGTCCCCCCAAACTCCACCCCTTTGTGCCAGGCAATCACATGGAGAAGCCAAGAGGCAGCCCCAGGCCCCCCGACCCAATTAGGGAGGCGCAGACCTTGTGTCTCCCCCATAAGCCTCTGATGGAAAGGCCAAACCTACTCGGTGAGCTCCTGTCTCCACGTTCCGTTGGTTCTGAGCCGCTTTTAGTGCCCAGAGACATGGCAAACCTCTTCAAGGAAGGCTGACCCCAAACACGGTTGAGTTAGAGGCTCACTTGCTTGGTGTAGTTTTACTAAGGGCAAAGAGAAGGCCTGACTTTGATCTAGATAGGTCTTACTACTCACTCACTCTGTTCTCTGAATCTGGATACAAATTCTTCCATCTGGGTGAAATCATGCATTACAAATGCCTTCAAGTGCCCCATGCCAGTGGCCACTAGCTACTCAGGAAGCTGAGATCTGAGGATCATGGTTCAAGGCCAGCCCAAGCAGGAAAGTCTGTGAGACTCTTACTTCCAATTTTAACCACTAAGAAAAAGCTCGAAGTAGTATTCGTGGCTCAAGTGGTAAAGCGCTAGCCTTGAGCAAAAGAGCTCAGGGACAGCACGTAGGTCCTGAGTTCAAGTTCTAGGACTGGCTCACACACACACACACACACACACTCAACCCTTCCCATGCCCACACTGGGACCATCAAATTCATAAAGATATTCCAGGTAAACTGTTCAAAGTCTGACTATATGTGCTGCTAATTCAAACAACAATGAAAAAAAGCTTATTTCTAATGTTTCTTTAAAAAAAAAGTTTGGAGCTAGGCTGGTCATCTAACACAATGGTATAGCACGTGTCTCCCACGCACAAGGCCCTCTTGGGTTCCACTTCAACCCCATAAAAATTAGAAATAAATAATGTTTGGGGACTTCACCAATTTAATCAGTAAGTAGTGTCATCAGCTAGAATGAAAGCAAAACCTCCATTTTTCTGCAAGTGTCTTCTCTCCATGAGGCTTCTGGTTTCTTTGTAGGCTACCCAGCAATTCAGACCCTCTGCCCACTTCATTTCTGCAGTTGGGGGGTCTCCTTGGGGCAAACTCACTAAGTTAGCATCCAGTTCTAGAAGCCATAAGCCTATGACCTGCACACACTCTGAAGCTATTCAGAGTTGCTTTACTTAGAAACACAAACTATCCTGTGGGGTTTCTATACCTTTAGGGCTAGCTAGCACTGGGAGCAGGAAGGCCACCCCTCTCCCAGGGCAGTGAGCTGAGTTGCAAGCTTTAGCTCAGTTTGAGGTGGGGGGGGGGGGGGGCCCGAAGGCGGGGAGGGGGGGGGGAGTGAGCAAGCTCAATTTCCAAATCCCACTCCAAAGCCCAGCCTGCCAAACTGTGCACACAGACATGACAGGGGATTGCAAAAATGCACCCCAGACAATGTAGCTAATGTACCAGGATCCCCTGCGAAGGAGTCGGGAAGCCACCCAGGATAGCAGGAGCTAATAGGAGCTTTAAAAAAAAGTATATTTTTATTTATTTTTATGTTTTTGCACTGAGAGACTTCCTCTCTTCATTGTCTTCTCCAAAGGGAAAACAGACAGAGAGAGTGAGAGAAAGGACAAGGAAAGAAAGAAAGAAAAAGATTAGATTCTGGCTATATCTGGAGAATAGCCTGTAAGCAATTCAGGCAGAATTTCTCTACACAATGGATGAGAGAACTGTGAGCCAGGCTGCCAAAATCAGCAGGACAAGCAAGTCCTGTGTATTCAGCATGAGAGGGGTCTGGACACATTTCAGAAAGAGCAGAGAATCCGAAGACAGGAACACTGATGCCTGCTGGGGTTGACAAGTATAAAATACAAGTTAATCTGTGATTCCCAACATGATACCAAGGACAGATGAGGGTAGAACTTTCCAGATCTTCTAGAATCTCCTGGACCACTGTCCTTCCAGGCTCTTTAAATATCACTTGTCAGAATTATAGCCTTTTCAGGTAAAAATGCTCTAAAATAAAATAATATAACATTCAAGGGATCGTGGTATGTTTCCCCCTCCTCTCAAATGGTTCTCAGAGAAAATCCCATCTGATTCAATTGAGCCCAGAACAATCAAACAAGTGCCTCAGATCATGTTATAATTAACGGGCAGCATCAGAGAAGAACCCCAAGTTTTTCCAGAGTCCTAGCACAGCTGTCAAAACTGTGACAATCATTTGCCATTCACACATTCAAATGATCAATGATTTTCCTTTTTTTCTTTTAGTGCTTCAAACAACTGGCAGATTGTACATTATGATATCAGGCCAACATTGATGAGTTTCTCTGATTTTCTGGGTTTTCTCTTCCTTAGACTTTTTGCAAGAGGGTCCGGAATCCTCAAACAAAGTCACATCTGAGGTCATGTCACAGCCAGCTTGATAGTATCAAGAAAAATGAAGCTGTCGTTCAAAAATCCATTTAAAGTGTAGGGGAAGGGGGTTGTTGGGTTGCTCAGTTGATTTAGAAAATGACTACAACTTTGGTTGTGTAAATAAAATGCTATGTCATCCTTCCCAGGTTTTCTCTAGGCCTTTGAATCTCCCCTTTGATTGGAAATTGCCAGAGGGGGTGTCTGATGACTTTTGTCCCAAGAACACAAAATGACTTTAGGATATGGGATGGATCGGGGAGTGAAGGAGAAGGGGCAAGAATGTCACCAGATCTTGGAACTCTAGGTATGACAATGTCCCACTGCGAGAAAGCTCTCAGAAATAGGCCATGCCACCACATCTGAATTTGGAGAATGGGTGTTTTTCACTAAATTCAGCAGCATGCAACATCTGGAAAGAATCTGCTCCTGTTTTACACCTCTTGTCTGGTGAAATACTGAAATGACATCTCACAATGAGAAGGAAGCTTTAGTAATAATTGTTCAACCTTAGACAATAGATATTGAGTGCAGAAGGAAGGCTGTGGGTATCCCCAGCTTGATCATAACTTAACTGTGTGGGGACTAAGCCAGAGACCCAGCCAGCCATACTTGATGTTATTTGATTTTTAAAGGAGAATAACAAGGTAAATGTCACGAAGTAGGAATGACATCATGAAAGTCTTGGTTTCTCTATTTCCTAATCTGTTTTACACAGTATATGTGTGTGTGTGTATGTGTGTGTGTGTGTGTGTGTGTATGTATATATATACATATATATATACATATATATATATATATATTAACCAAGGTGTTTTTAACAAACCTCAACCTAGACACTCAATTTAGGCATTTGTTTAAAATATGAAAGAACTGTTCAAATCCAAAAGGTTTATTTCCTGAACTTCTACTGTGAGGCTTATATATAGCAAAAGTTGAAGGGGTTTTATTTTTCTGTTAGTCTTTCAAGTGTTTCAAAGAAAAAACTCAAAACACTACGTATTTACCCCTCCACCACCTCCCCCCACCAAAATAAAACCCTCCATTTATTTTTTCAAATATTCTTCTATGGATAAGTGGATGTAACTCTTCCAAAAGTGAGACAAAAGCTTGGAAATTAATTGGGAGTATCATTTACTCAAGCGTATGGTAGATCTACAGTTATGCCGTTTTTCATGCATGGTGTACGTGCTGGTGTTAGAGGTTCAATTTAGGACCCTTGCTTAGCTTGTGCTACACTTGGGCTACACCTTCAGCCTTTTTTTTTGCTGGTTAATTGAAGATCAAAGTCTCTTGGATTTGTCAGCCTCCAGAGTAGCAAGCTTTATAAGTGTGAGTATGCTACTGGTACCTGGCTTTATTATTGGTGTTTATGTGGGGGTTCCTGTTTTGGGGAAAAAAGACAGAACCACTGAAGACCTATAAATCTAACATTCCAAAGAAGGAACTGAATCATTGTTGGCATATAGACAATAGATAGATCATGTTAAAGCTTTGCATCATCTTCTAGAAACACCTGGGAGGGCTGAGTCAAGGTATAACACCGAAATGATGTACGTCTAAAAGAGCAGGGTGAAGTATGCCATTATAGCTACAATACCTAAAACAGAGATACAGACTTGGGGATTTCTCTCCGTGTTCCCCCCCCCCCCAACCACCACCTCTTCCCACCACAAGAATGTCAAGAATTTGAGCTCCCCGTTCTTAAGGTGAAAGGGCATTAACTCAAATCTGCTCTTGAAGAAAAGAGGTGGCAAATCCTGAGACATGGAACATTACAATCAAATCTCCCCAAGTTTCAGTTGGCAAAAATGGGTGATGCTCTCCCTCCAAGCTTCCAGAAGAATTGAAAGCATTGTCATCATCATGGGTCGATTAAATTAGGAGCCAGTGAGATCTCCATTGCAGCGCAGTAATTCTCTACTCCTTTATTTCAACATTCAGCTTTAGGTTTAAAATATTTGCTAAGAAAGCAGAGAGGCGATTAACAGAGGTTGGGTTTTTTTTTTCTTTTTTCTTTTTTCAAATGTGTGCCATAGTTACACATTCTATCAACAGAGTAAAAGGAAAACTATACAGCAGAAGTTACAAAATGGTTATTTCATGTTTCCGCAAACATTCCAATAAACTTTCACTGTGGTGTTATTCAACAGTAGAAGAGCAAAACAAGAAATGAATTTCAGGAGCAGTTCAGCTCATCTAATCTCCAAGAGGCATCCATCGGCTGTAGTTTTTTTGACCTGTGAATCTCAACCAGGAAAGATTCCCAGTTCCTCAAGGGAGAAGATTTGTCTGCTAGACATACATCCACAAGGCCAGCAAGCAGAGAAACTACAGCTCCCGAGGGGTCCCAGGAAGTTCCTCCAGCCCCCGCCCCCCCATAAATTCCTGAGCTGCACAGAACTCCCCAAAATTCTCCCAGAATGGGATGGGTAGGCATAGTTTCCTAGTGAATAACTTAAAATGTGTCTGGTTTGGGGGTTTCAAATCAGCTAGATTCTATAAACCAGATTCTATGTAAAAAGAGTTCAGCCACCACTTCGATAGGATGTTATTTTGTTGTTTTAAAATAGTTTAACTTTATTGTTATTTTTTTATATAATAATATTATTCCAACAGACTGTTTAAAGGCAATGATCACTAACACAGAACAGGACAGGGAGGCTAAAGCCAGGCGAGGCTGATCTCAGGACCATGGCCTGCAGGAGCCAGGGGTCCCTGACATGCACATAGGTAGCTCATTCATAAGCTGCAATAAGCTCATAGCTTAGGCTGCAGAGGTGAGGGTGGAGACAGATACTGCTATTCAATAAATATCATCCAAAAACAAAAAACAAAACGGGAAATAAACCCTCCAGAGCACAATCACCTTAGGTCAACTGAACATAAATCTAGTTTATTCAACTGAAAATTGAAAAAGAAAGGAAACATGAAAACCAAAAAAAAAAAAAAAAAGCAGTTCTTAACACTAGCAGTAAATAAAATTTGTACAACAATTCAGTCTGTATAATATGATGAAATAAATCTACATCTCTTATTTTGGTGCTTTGAATTATACATACAAACAACAATTACAGGGACTTATTCACAAAGCATAAGAGGCCTAGAAGTGACCCTCCAAACCCTCACTGGCAATTTGTGTGCCCAGATTTCCTTTGCCCAGGCCCCGTAGCTTTGAACAAATGATTTTTGCCTACAACTTTTATCTTTTTTTTTCTTTTTTTTCCTTTTTTTTTCTTTTTTCTTTTTTTTTTTTTTTTTTGTCCTTTTAATGCATCAAACAACTGGCAAGTTGTCCATTAGAATATCAGATCTAGTTTCTTCTGAATTTCCATACTTTATTTTCCCCCATCTTTCTTAAAACTCTTGGCATCCTTCATGCCTTTCTTACAGCTACCCAGGTGCAATAAAGTCTTCCTCAAATGTACAACAGTATTTCTTACAATATAAGTTATATGCAATGTTCAGCAAAATTTCTTCACAGCACTAGGGACCCTGTTAAATAGGGAATATGAGTCTGAATGGCTTATTCACAGATGGGATCCAGATCCAGGGGTCAGAACACAGACACCACCGTGAGCTCCTTTGCAAAAGAGACAAAATAGTCATTTTTGCTTTCTGCCTTCCCAAAACATATATCCATCGCGGTTTAGGCTTCATGATACTGCTCCTGCAAAAAAATGCAAGTAGAAGGGGTCGGAGGGACTCTTGCACGCGCTCAGAGACGGGTGGTCATAGAGCCGGGCTCTGCTCTAACCCATGGCGGTGACCATACTGGAAGGATGATGAGGTCCAAAGGAGAGGCCGGACGGTGGGTGCATGGGCGTGGGCGTGCTCAGCATGTGGCTGGAGTGGCTGAAAGGGGAGATGTGGCTGAGGGAAGACATATGTCTGGACAGGGCGGCGGGGTTGAAGGAGCTGCTCTTAGGGAAGTCCTCCAGCGTGTCATGCACCTTTTTGCACTTTTTGGATTTGCTAGACATTTTTCGGTTTCTGGTCTGGATGCCTTCCTTCTTCATAGTCAGGGGTCTGTTAATCTAAACAAAGATCAATTTTTGTTTTTTACTTTTTTTTTAACTGCCTTTGAAATGGCACAGGTATTTTAATACCACTGGCTGCCCACCCCCCCATTCCCAAGTCTGAGATCTCTTTCTGTTTCATTCAGCCACCTTCCCTTCTTCCATCCTTCCCAGAGACCTGGGTACCTAAGTCTCCCGGGAGGGAAGAGGGTGGGTGGAATTCTGTCAGTTACTTTGACAGACCAGAGACCAGAGGGGACATACTCCAAGCACAGCTTAGCCACTTGGTCAATATCAGCAACCATGGAAGCAAAATTTTTCCCCTCAGCACGGTGCAGTCAGGGGCCCAAGGACAATGACTCAGTCTCCCTGACAATTAAAAGTACAGTCACCTGTTCTATTCCTTTAGAATTTTCTTGGAATGTTTCCTGAGAGTAAAAAGGGATTGAGTAACCTTCCAGAGGGAAATACCATTTTGTCTACTCATCTGACAAAAATCCATGCTAGGACTTCCAAGCACTGCCAAGCTAATCTGTTCTTCAGATTCTGCAGTCTCTCTGCCCTGGAAGAGGGGATTGTACCTCTTGCAGAGGGATTTTTGGTTACCCCTCTTTCTCCTGGACCTTTCACAATTCAAGGTGTTATATATAAAGTCATCCCTCCAGGAATTTGTACCTTCTAGGGCCTATTTGAACACAACATGCTTTTCCCACAAAATACTAACAAGGGTTAGAATTTGCTAGTCCTCCCAAGTCTGGCTCTCCCCTTCTAACTAGACAAAGAAGTAAACACCAAACAGGAAGTACTGAGTCCAAAGCACTTTGTTAGGGTGAATGTGTCCTTACCCTAAAAACCGCCAACCTTCAGATTAAAGAGCTAGTGGTAAGATCCAACTTTAAAGATATATACTCTAGATAGCCTACTCTCCCTTGCTCACTGAGAAAACCTGGTTGGTCCTTTTTAAAACACGTGGGCTGAGGGACCCAGAGGCAAGGATGGCTACTTTACTCAAGCAAACAGAAGCTTCATCCTACACAGGGTCAGTCGAGTTATCCTCAACAACACACCTGCCACAAAGAGCCAATGGTAGATCTGGCCTTGTTACCAGAGAAATGTGACCCAGGGACTCCAGGAGTGACTCTCCCAAGCCTGCTTCTTCCTGATTTCCTAAGAGGAAATGTTTTCTTCCCTCCACCCCTCCCAGGCTTCTCCTTGGAGGAAGAGGTTCCTCTTGCCTCAGGATCCATCTGTCTGTCCCCTGAGCTACACAGTACCAGTTAAACAGAAGAGGAGCCCAATGGCCAAGAAGGACCACAATGCTGGGCACAGCAAACACACCATTTCCCGGAACTAGAAGGCGTCACCTGAGAAAAGGACAGAGGCCCACACTGGAGCTGAGCCCTTCTTTCCCCCATTTATGCCAGGGAGGCGAGGTGAGTAGGAACAGAAGTGTCAAAGAAGGTCATTGCTAAAAGAAATGTCTCTCTGGGGTTTCCTCGAGTTATCATCAAGACAAAGAAGATGACAGAAATCTCCTCCCACATCAAATCTTCACGGAGATAATGTCTAGATAAGTCCCTAGGAGCTGATATCTAGAAGCTCATTGCCAGATATCAACATATAATATCTAGTTACAGAGAGGTGCTCAGGCCCAGATAACTAGTCCCAACACCACAGAGATATGCTGATACTAAGATAGGAAGTTATCTAAACTCCTAGATAAGAACCAGAGTAGAAGACCAAGAGCTGAACTGGAGGCCATGAAAATGGTAGTAGATTGCTATCACCTATTGTTGAATACACATAAATAGCTTCCTTTGACAAATCCCAGCCAAACTACAAGAGAGAAGGGGGGGGACACTTGTAGGTAAGGAAGTTCCTATTTATGGATCTATTTGTCTATCTCTCTTTCTACCCATGAAGGTAGACTTAATTAAGAATTGAAGGCAGGTGCTAGTGGCTCAGACCTGTAATCCTAGCTATTCAAAGGGCTGAGATCATGGTTCAAAGCCAGACAGGGTAGGAAAGACTGAGACTCTTATCTTCAATTAACCACCAAAATGCCAAAAGTGGAGCTGTGGCTCAAATGATAGAAGCACTAGCCTTGAGAAAAACAAAAAAAGAAAAAAGAAAGCTCAAGGACAGCACCTAGGCCTTGAGTTCAAGCCCCAGGACTGACACTAATAGTAATGATGATGATGATGATGATAATAATAATAATAATGAGTAGGGGAACTGAGGATTTAGCTAACTAAATCTACTGACTCTTCCATATTATTCAACCTGGTTGCTTGCTTTTGGGGGAGACCATACTTCTTCAAGTAAAACTTGAAGAGCTTCCATTCTGTCTACATAACGGGACTATTTGAGACTCAAACACAACCAAGTAACAAGAATGTTCTTGGAAAGTCATAAATCACAAGTCAAAAAAAATAACTTTAGAGCTAGATGCCAAGGGCTCACATCTTTAATCCTAGCTATTCAGGAGGCTGAGATCTGAGAATCTTGGTTTGATATCAGCTTGGCAGGAAAGTAAGACACTTATCTCTAAGTTAACCACCAGAAAAGTTGGAAGTGGAGCCGTGGCTCAAGTAATAGAGCACTAGGCTTGAGCAAAAACATCCAGGACTGGCGCACACATACGCACACACGCGTGCACACACACACACACACACACACACACATATGCACAAACACACAAACCTGTTCAAATCATGACCAGAGAGCTAATAAACACCAGTACCTCAAATCTCCCCAATTCCAATTATAAGCACAAGGCTTCCTCTATCTCCACAACAGTGAACAAGCAAACTTCTGAGTGAAACCAGGATTTGATTGACCTGCTAACAGATCTGTCTACACAACTCACAGCCTTGGATCCAAGGGGAAAAAATCAGAAGGGGCTGACAAAGGCTCCAGGGTGGTTATGGCAGGCCCTCAGACCACTGGGTCAAGACACAATGATATTCCCAGGGAGTTAACAAGGTCCCGGAGAATCTCAACACCTTTATTTCCACCAAAAATGAATACGAAGTAGGATGCTAGAAGGTTATCCTTAAAAAATTATCTATGACTCAAAAACTTGATTTAAGCACCAAAGGAAGCTTCCTCCTCAATTCCCAGGCCTTCCTAGGTCAGGTAAATTCAATGCCAGATTTGCCCTGAGCAAAAATGTCTCCCTCTTCCTTGTACAGTTCCAGAGTTTGCCAAAGTCAAGTGACTTTAGGAGAACCAGAGAAAGCTGAAGAAGAGAGGAGAGGGGAGGGGAAAAGGAGGGAGGAAGAAGAGGGAAGGGAAGGGTAGAAAAGAGGGAAGAGAAGAAAAGAAACTTGTTTTTCCCTTGAGAATTAATGTAAATTTTAGACTGCATCTGGGTTGTGGCCTATCAGACAAAATTAAGATGAAGATACAAATTGGGAGGAGGACCTGAAATTAAAAGTTTAGCAATGACAGCTTGACTTCTGTGGGCAGCAATTGTCTTCCTGCTAATCTAACATAGCATAGGAGAAAAAGCAAACAGCCTCTGTCCCTGGCATAATCACCAAGCTGGGTGGTGGTTCTCAGCACAGGAAAGTTGTCTAGGACAAAAAGACACCAGATGAAATCTCTCTGACATTTCATTTCATGTCTTTGAAATCTAGGATCCATTTGAAATTTGCAGCACAGGTTTAGCCAAGATTTTTTTTTATCCTTCCAAAATACAGCTGCTGATTTTTTTTTTCCTCTTAAGAACTCAGGCTGCTTGCTAGTGCCTCAAATTTGTAATCCTAGCTACTCAGGAGGCTACGATCTGAGGATCCCGGTTCAAAGCCATCCCAGGCAGGAAAAGTCCATGAGAATTTTTATCTCCAATTAACCACCAGAAAACTGGAAGTGGAGCTGTGGCTCAAAACGGTAGAAAGCTTAGCCTTGAGTAAAAAAAAAAAAGCTTAGGAGGAATAATGCTCAGACCCTGAGTTCAATCCCCATGACCAACAACAAGGACAAAAAAACCCCAAAAAACCAGATAGATCCACAAAGCATTTATCTCAGCTTGCCTCCTTGCAAAGTTGTGTCCAATACACACGATGTGGGTTGTCTCTCTTCCATCCGTAAATCCCTTCCAACCTTAGCAAGATTGCATAAGACAAAGCAGTTCTCTAAGCTAGGTCCTGCTAGTTGATCAGAGGCCTGTTACTTGGCCCCAAAAGAGGGTGATCCTAACCTGACCCATTAGAGTATCTGGACAGAGCAGTAGTGGTGCTAAGTCAAAGGCCTAGTCAGAAATGGAGCCTCGTACTGGCTGGCCCCAGGAACTTACATTGTGCAGCTTGTAGTAAAGCCCACAGGCATTGCAGACCGGGTCCCCGTTGGCATTCCTCCTCCAGAGGGTGGTGGTCGTGGTCTGGCAGTTGGCACACGAGGTCCCTGCTCTTCTAGCTGCCGACTGGTGGTAAGGAGAGAAAGGAGGGGGGACACCGAGAGAAATGTAAATGTGTTGTCAGAGCTGAGAAAAGGGCTTAAGGAGAAGGGGAGAGGAAAACAAAAGGCAGATACTATGCCTGAAATCCCAACTAGCAAATGGCCCACGCAGAAGTAATAATAAAAATTCTCCAATTTATGCCCGAGAAGAAAAACATTCCCAATTCCACAAGATGGCTGAAACAGGTGAGACTTAACCTGTTCCTGTCCAGTGCAGCATTGAGATAGAGCAGAAGGCCCTGAAAACATTACTATGCCCTCTCTCCACCCCACCAAGTCCATCAGAGGACTCATCTTTGTGGGTAGCAATGTTGAATTAATGAGACCCATGTTGGAGTCAGGCTAAGTGCAATTCCCAAGAATACCAATGTTCAAATAAACTAGTAGTAACCATCAGGACACACTAAGCAAATGAAAAGCAAATCGACACCCAGAAAGCCTCTGACAGAACACAAGTTGGGAAATGCTAGATTGTAGGAAAGACACAGAGGGTCTTCATTCTCTGAAAGGATGCCTGTGCGGGTGTGAGTATTAACTCACGGGTACTACAATTTAGGAGCAGGGCAGCCCAAGTCCACAAAACCTGTCCAATATGCAGTCATCCTAAATTTATATAGCCAGCTGGGCTGGCCTGGTACAGCCAACCTCAGTTTCTCTAGGTGGCCATCATTGGATGAAACAAATTGAAAAGAACAAGTACTTGTGCTATTCAGCAGGAATCCTAGACACTTTCTCTCATGTTCTCTCTCTCTCTCTCTCTCCACACACATACACACACACACACACACACACACACACACACACACACACACATCTTACTCTCATTTCATGTCACCTTTGTGAAGTTAGATATTTCCTATATGTTATTTTCCAAAGAGAGAAGTATCAAGGCAAATGTCAGCCAAAGCTTGAATTTAAATTCCTTGGCTATACCATTGCTTTTCTTTTCTTTCTCTCCCCTAATAGAGAGATATTTCTTTCACTATTTTTGCGTTTAATTTAAACACTTATGAGATCACTACTTTCAATATCCATTTGAAAAAAAAAAGTTCAAAATTGGTGAAAGAAAATGGAGTTGAGTCACTTCTAACATGCTCTTCTCCTCCCCATCATAAAAAGAGAACTTCAGCTGCAATATTCCTACTCTTCTTATGGAAGAAAATGGCAAGAAAAGGAGACAGAATTCAGTGTGTCTTTTATCTATGAACGAAGCTTCTAGTATGAAGGCTGAGGGAATAACTAAAATAGTAAAGTCCTTGCTTAGCATACTCAAGGCCCTGGGTTCCATCTCCAATATTAAAGATGGAAAAAAACAAAGAAAGAACAAAAATTCTGATAAGGTTTTAAGAACATGTGACATAAACTACAAGGTTCCTAGTGATCTTTTCCACGAATATTTCATTAATCACAGATTTGAAACAAATACAAAAAATGGCTAGATAAAAAAAAAAGAAAGAATATGGCAAGATATGGGAAAATCCAGAGTCAATTTTAAATTCACTAAATTGATTTCCTTCCTTTCAGAGTTGCAGTCATTCTACAGACATGTTCTACGGGGTTAGAGATCTCTGATGTAAGTTGTTTATTTGTTTGTTTGTCGTGGTGCTTAAATGTTGGGCCTAGGCATTGTCCCTGAGCTCTTCAGCTCAAGGCTAGTGCTCACCACTTTGAGCCACAGCTCCATTATTGGCTTTCTGGTGGTTAATTGGAGATAAGAGTCTCATGCACTTTCCTGACTGGGCTGGCTTTGAACCACAATCCTCAGATCTCAGCCTCCTGAGGAGCTAGAATTACAGGCATGAGCCACTGGCACCCAGCAAGTTTTTTCTTTTCTTTTCTTTTGTATTCAAATAAACAGGAAAATAAAAACATCTTAATGGACAAGGTCCTAATTTTTGCTATCCACTTAACTATATTTTATGTACTCTAAGGAGGAAAACATTACACAAAACCAGGGCATTAATAATTTTTGGACAACTGTGTTCTGTGTGATTATTATCATCTTCCTATGGTTATTTTTTCTTTGGGAGAAATATTCACATATACCACAGAGTAATATCTACTCAGATACCCAGGTTACCCACCCCATCATCTGTGAATGCATAATACAAACATAAAATGCCAACTACTGAAATTTAGCTCCAAACAACTTGATTCAGTATGTAATCCTCTGCAGTATATTGAAAAGTAACGTAAGAACACACATGCTGAGATTGACTCCTGTACTATATAGTCTCTAAGACTCAAAAGCCACACTGGAGGGTTTGCTAGCAGGAGCAGAGTATAAATAAAGCAGCTGTTCAGTATTTTGCTAGTGGTGAAACACATGAAAATCCTAGCTATCTACAGATCTTGCCTCTAGTTTATCTCTTCTGTTTCCTGAATTCATTTATTCAGCATTCAATGCATGTGTATATCACAAAAAAAAATCTAACCACATCATACCTATGATATACTCCAGTACATTTTCCTTTGGGGAATTAGAAAGACAGCTGGAGTGAATAGACAGGAAAGAAGAAAATGCAAGGTCCTGAGTTTGAACCCCAATACCAAAATTAAAATAATAAATAAAGGAAGAAGAAAAACAAAAGGTGCTAGGTGTTTAAAAGTCAAGCACCTCTAATGAGGGGGAAGGGTAACAACTCTATGTCTTCAGAATGTTTCTCTATAGTATATGAACTTAATGGAACTAAAAATACCATATCACCCAGATGATTAAGACAAAATATAGCTTACATGGCTGTTACCAATGAACTCTAGAATTAAAAGCAATTATTACTCAGCCTTGTAAAGATTTCCTCTGAAAGACAAGAGAGGACAAAATTATATAAAATGGAACTAGAACCCTCCCCTGCTGTCTGCAGACAGAAGAAAATGTCAAATAAACTCCCGACCATCCATCAACCCAGTCTCAAGACTTTTATACCTCTTTCTCCTTTATCTGCCTTTACCTTAAATATATATATATATATGTGACAAAAATTTAAAAATATAGCTATATTGTGGTTTATTATAACAGGAAAGTTTGTGTTTAGTTTTCTTTTCTATCTTTTCTTTCTTTTTTTTTTCAGAAGGCCAGGTTTTGGGTGATTCAGAACATTCTTTTGTGGTGCGATCACATTCATTCTGTGCTAACACCTCCAGCCATTTTTTCCCCCAACCATTTCTTGTTCTGATCCGTCCAAACATCTTGATGTTTAGGTTAGGGAGGCTACGTTGTTGTTTATGAGTTATCTCTAGTGCTCAGATATCCGGCAGCTCTTTCCTAGGAAGTTAGCCTTGCACAGGAGAGAAAGGAAAGAAAAAACAAAACCCAAACTGCATGAGTGAAGTAAGGGGGAGGCTGAGAAAGCTGGAAAAGAGAGCAGAGATCAGAAAGAATAAAGCCCAGAGATGCAAGGAGTGCCAAAAATTAAAGTCATGTGAGCATTTCCATCCCTAGAAAGTTTTTCCTTTTTCTACAGAGGGGGCAAAAGGTGTTAAATTGCCTTGGAGTCTGCTGGGTAAGGCGGATAATAATGCTTTAAAAGGAATACAAAGGTTGTTGGGGGATTTTTCCCTCCCATCTTAGAATCTGATGGATACCAATTCATCCATTCATCTGCAAGGGGAATTCCCCTCCTCCCTTCTCCATTTGGTAACTTTCAACACCACAAAAAGCATTTTGATCTCTTGACTGTGGTTAGTTGTCATCTACCAAGCCCACTTTTGTTTGTCTGTTACATATTCACTATGCAATCTGGCCTATGACTCCAAAGACAAGCCTTACAAACAAACCCGTCTGTTGGTTTTCCTTGTAAGTGCATGACAGTACCATATTTTCCCAAGTATTCCAAATGATTAAGCATTTCAAAGAAGAGAGAGAAGAGGGGAAGGAAGGAAGGAAGGAAGGAAGGAAGGAAGGAAGGAAGGAAGGAAGGAAGGAAGGAAGGAAGGAAGGAAGGAAGGAAGGAAGGAAAGAAGGGAGGGAGGGAGGGAGGGAGGGAGGGAGGGAGGGAGAGAGGGAGGGAAAACTACCACTCTTCAGATAGCAAGTTCAAACAGAAAATAAGATCAAATGCTAGGTGTTATCATTCCAAAAAGCAAGACAGGAATCTCAAAACTTTTCCCGCAGGAATTACCTCTGCAGAGTCCTCCATTCCTAAAACCAAAAAGCAGGGGGGAAAAAAAAGTGCAATGGGCCCTGTGGTTACTGCTTCTAAAATCCACTTAATTGACCCCATCAATCTTAAAACAGCAGAAGAGATGCACTCACAGTCCTCAGTCTGCAGTTACTTTCTCAGAGCCGGCCTCCTCCTACTTCCAGAACATGTTCTGGATGTCTCCGGCTTCACACTTACTCTCTGTCTTTGATATAGTGACTTTGATATAGTAATAGTTATCTGTGTCCTCCTAAGCACAATTATTCTACTGGAAAATAGATTTTTAGCTGTTGACTTTAAGAAGTGAGCGTCTTAAAATTGGTGAAATAAAAGGATGAGAGGGGGAAAGACAACAATAATAGTTTCCCTGTAATTTGAAATGAGGGCTGAAATGAAAAGGAAAGGAAAAGAGAGGAGAGGAAGGGAGAGAAAACAAAAGGAGGAGGAGGAGGAAGAGGAAGAGAAGAACTATCCTAAGCCAGTGGACATGGTTTTTTTGAACTGTCCTGCCAATTTCCTGTTCAAAGCTACTTTCCTGGAGAGAGGACATGGGAGACACACGCACGTACGCACGTGCGCACGCACGCGCACACACACGCACGCACGGCTATGTGAGGTCAGTCCTTCAAGGAGAACTTACCAGCCTTCGTTTAGGCTTGATTAGGGGCCGGTTCTGTCCGTTCATTTTGTGGTAGAGCCCGCAGGCATTGCAAAGGTAGTGTCCAGTGCCGTCTCGCCGCCACAGTGGGGTGGACGTTGCCCCGCAGTTCACACACTCCCGGCCTTCTGGAAACAAGACCACAGATAGGTCACTAATGGAAGGAAGAAACTCAGGAAGGTGACTGACCACATGTGGAATTAGGAGGAAAAAGAAGAAAAAGAAAACTAATTTTTTTCTTTCCCCTTTTTGGGGCACATTTCTCTCACGCACAATTTCACACACACACACACACACAACACATCCCCGTGCCATTCTAAGTGACATTCTAAAGGTGCCCAGAATCATGACATAAGCATTTCAAAGACCTCATCTGCAGAAATGGGACATGAATACACCACCACCACAGAGCCTTCTTCTCAGCCCACTTGACTTGATGGGGGAGGATCAGACAGGGAATAAAAAAGAAAAAGGAAAAGAGCGATCTCAACTTAAAACAGTTCTGTGAGAAAAATTCTGAGCCCTGGACAGATGGTGACAAAAGCAGAACATGTTTTTCATCTCCCTCAAATGAAAAGAAAGAAAAACAAAGGTGACCTGTTATCATCACTGTGTCTGACTATAGAGATTGATTAAATAATGAAGAGCAGAATGGAGAAAAAGGAAAGATTATCAGTGGCTAGATAGATACACAGATAATAAATAGATGTACAGACTGATCAATTGACTTGACTGATTTGAGTTGCTACAGCTTTAGATTTTACTTCCAAATGAAATTGTGAATGTCTCTGGTGCCAACATAACCGATTAAGACCCAGCAAGGTCTCTCTAGAAAATGCTAGAGCTTTCCAGTCACGGATAGAAGTGTTGAGGGTAAATGAAAGCCCTAGCTTGTCCAGCCTGAGGTTGCTAGAGGGAAAGACAGTGCCAAACTTCAGACAGGAATTCCAGAAGACGGGAAGAAGAGAGGTGGGCTAAAGGACAGGAAAGAAGGGCTAGAATGAGGATGCAGAGTAGAAGCAAGTTAGCCAAAGATAGGGTGTAGATCAGTTCATTAGCCAAATCCTACCTGCAGTTTCTCTTTTGCTACACACACACAAATAAATAGGCTGGGGTTTTCTTGTTGCATTCATTCTCAGAACTGGGACTAGAGATCACCCAGGACTTACTTCCCTGAAGTTTGTTGGAGAACACCTTTAAATTACCATTATGCACCCAGGTGAGTTTGCTAAGTGATTTAAGAGGAAGAGGAGGATACTTTTCAGGAGAATCTCCTCTACATTTTTGGCTGGGGGAGGGGCAAGGAGGACAAGGAATTCCCTAGAAGGAACTAGGACCCTAATTCCCTACACAAGAAAATAATACAACTCAGGTTCATCTCCTATGGTGGCAGGCCCAAGTATCAGGCGGGAGACAGGGAAGAAAAATGAGCCCTACAGATTGCTTTGCCTCCAGAGAGTAAATCAATTAACATCAGCCTGGCAGGAAGGCTGGAGTAGGGAGAGACACCCCAGAAGACCACAGGGCACTTGGACTCCCCTAAAAGGGAAAAACAAGTCTGCCTTAGCAGCTCAGCCCTTTGGAAAGTCCCCGGATCAAAAATGAGGGAACTAGGGGCAGGCGTAAACACCTGTGGCCTTGCTGCAGGAGAAGTTCTACAGGAAGGTTACAAACCTTGGCAGATGAAGGGAGTGTAGGAGGCCGAGCTTAAAGGGCAGAGCCCTTGCCTAACAAGTATGAGACCCTCGGTCAGACCTGTAGTCCCAAATAAAGCCAAGTCTGCCATCTTTTCCAGTAGTCTGTCATGGTGTATTTCTTGTTTGATTTAAATATATATATATATATATATATATATATATATATATATATATATATATATACACACACACACACACATACATATTCTACAGAGGAATATTTTTTTCACTGTCTAAAAGCTCCTTAGCCTAGCGTCTACTCTTTCCTGTGTCCTAGATCTCTGGGACAGTATCTAAAAAGCTTGCATGTAGAGGCCAAAGGCACTTTCCTAGGCACTCAGCAGTATGTTGAGTTTTCTAAAAAAGGCTTGTTTGTGTGCTAGCCAGGACGCTTTTGTTTGGGGTCAAAAGCCTGAGGGATGTGGCAGACTGAACGTGGAGGAGGCGTGAAGGAAAGAGGAAAGGCATGAGTGGGCGAGAGGTGCAGCGGCTGCCTGAGCCAGGAGGTTGCAGGCCCAGGGTCCTGAGCAGAGTGGGGCCCAATGCCCCAGGTCTGGCCTGGCTAGGCCTGCCAGGGGCACCTCCTTATCCAGCTCAGATAGGAATCCCATACATCATCCCTTCCCTTTGCTAACACTCGGGTACTAGGCAGAGCAAGGAGAGCCTACTACTGGCTCCAGGCTTCCTCCACCCTCCACAGCAGCAAAATACCACAATGACCTGGCCACCATGGTTCAGTACAGCGTGAATGGCTGCCCTGCTCCTAGGCACCCTGGCACGGAGCGGGAGGCTCTCCTAGGCTGACACCACCAGGCTGATTTCCTTTCCTTTTGTCAAGCAGGAGGGAGATGACAGCTTCCTTTTCAAAGCAACGGTTGCTCATTGGCAGGGGCTCTGCACACTAGAGCAATTTTCTGTCTTGATTCACTCGGCAAGTTCGCGATTGCCTTCTGTGGGCTTTTCTTTTCCTCTTGTCTAACTCGTGCTTCTACTCTGTGATTTCAGCACACAGCCAATTTTCCTAATGGAGGCCCCGACTCTTTCTTGCTTTCTGTCTTCCTCCCTTCTCACCCCCTGCCTGCCACCAGCCGCCCAGGCAGACACCTCTTTCTTAGGTGACAAGAACCACAGAGCTTGGAGGCCTCTTGACATTCAATAGCCATTCTCAAATAAATGCCTGTTGGGCTTTGGATAGAAACCTTGAAACTGGGTAGTGAAGGGGTAGAAGTAAGATTGGATTATTACTTTTTTTTTTCCAGAGTATGGAGAGGAACATGCCCATAGAGGTCAGGAAAGCTGAGAAATGACCCTCTGAGAAAGAAAGCAAAAAGGCTTTATCTTTTATGTGTAAAGGTAGAGCCCAGCACAGAAAGCTTAGATGTAAAAAAAAAAAAGCAATAGGTGCTCTAACCACAGATGCAACAGTTGCTCCAAAACTCAGAAACAACCCTGACAACTCTCTCTTCTCTGCCTCTCCTTCAGTAGCTGAGGAAGGAAGGAAGGAAGGAAGGAAGGAAGGAAGGAAGGAAGGAAGGAAGGAAGGAAGGAAGGAAGGAAGGAAGGAAGGAAGGAAGGAAGGACCCCTTCTACAAGAAAGAATTCTCATCAGTCCACCCTCTTCACGCCAAGGGCTTCTGGAACCTTCCCCTCCCTGCTCTAAAAAGGCCCAGCTCCCTCCCTGGCCAGGTGTACAGCTCTTGGGTCTTGTGATCCTGAGAGAGGAATAAGGAGGAGGAAGTAGAGACCCAAATTTCAATGGCTTCCTCTCCCCTCCACCAAACAAACTACAACAGGCATACTGCTATTCCTAGCCTTGGTTTAGGGAAACTCCAGCTGTCTGGCCCCTTCCACTATGTTCACTATCTTAAGGGGGGAAGGGGGGATAAGTGAGAGAAGGGGACAGACTAAAACGAGAGCCAGAAAGTGCACCATCGATGGGACAGGCAGAAACGAGGGCAAAGAGACCAGAGTCCTTTGGAAAAGTCGCTCCGTTTCCGTCCCCACCCCTCTTAAAACCACTAAACACACCTCAGAGACCACGATCACCCCTCAACCTCCTAGCCGTACCAGGAAAGAGAACTTAATTTAAAAAAAAAAATCCATTGCAACCTCAAAACACCCAAGCTTGCTCGGTGATTTTAGCCCTCTGTTGTGTGGGTCAGAACCAACTGTATCCCCATTTCTCTCCATTCCTCCACCCCCAAAACCCATTCCCTGCCAAGGACCGCTCTGGTACTGCCTGCCTCTTCTCCTTCCTCTGTCTTTCTTTATTTGACTGCACCAGCTAGCCTACCTCCCTCTCTCTCCTGCCTACTTTCATGTACTGAACATGCAGGTCTGAGTTTTGCTGTCAGCCTAACCGCATCCGGACTCTATTAAAGTTCCTAGCTCAGGATAAACAATGCAACTGTCGCGTGCAGCAGTCTGAAAATAATTGGATTAGCTAAAACATATCAACTAAATAGAGACAGTCCTGCTCAGGCAGTCGGAGTAAATGTCACCCTGGAAGAAGAAAAAAAAAAAACAAAAAACAAAAAAAAAACCTGAAAACTGATCTTATGGTCACTGGGTTCCTAGACCCCTCCCTCTGAAGTTTACCAAACCAGAGCTTTGGAGACACCACAGTTTCCAGACTCTTAAAAGACAAGTGATTTTCACCAATAGACTTTTTTTAATGGGATGGGGGGGTGCAGTTGGAGTGGCTCAGAAATGAACATCTGAAATGAACACACTTCTGGGGACAGAAAAATCTCCACAAAAATCCTATCTAAAATTACAATTCAGTCTCATCTTTGGGAATCCCTGTCTTTCTTTTTAACTCATTTGCTTCCATCAGAAACAGAGTTGATGACAGATCATCAGCATCTTATTTTGAAAGCAAAAAAAAAAAAAAGTTGTGTGTACATGATTGAGTGCAAGCAACTACACTAATAGGATCAATATTTGCAGCAGATTTCCAGACAGGGTTTGCTTTCTGTAAGTAGAGGAGGAAGCAGAAACGTGCACACACCTGAAGAATCTTTTGCTATCTCCACTGCTTCCCGCCAGCAGAGGAATGGATGTGTCCTAAGGTAGCTTCCAGCCCAAGCTGGCACTGAGGGTTGTACAAATACACTCTAGGTAAGAAACTGAACCGTGTGCGTTTCATTCAAGTGTCCCCATCCTGAAGACACCTTCTGTTCCCACAAGTTGAGCTGAGCCGCTTTCCCTCCAAGCAGAGAATGTGAGCTGCTTTTGCTGCGTTCCTCCTTCTCCAACTCTCACACACACCTTTATTTCTATGTGTCTCTCAAAAGAACTATCCCCTGCTATTCACCCACTGTCCCTCTTTGAGCTGACCAGCAAGGAACAGCCAGACTGACAGAGGCCAAAGGGGTCACAGGAGGGACCCGTGTTTGTTTAGGTTTGAGGAGGTTTCGTTTTAGCTTTAAACACTCCAGATTTATTCCCGGGGCCTTCCATTTGGTCTTGGAAACTGAGTAAAGGTTACAGACAGAACCCGACACAAGTCCTGTGTATCAGGAGAAGGCATTGCTTGGGTTTTGGTTTTCATTTTCCTTCCCCAGATCAATGGGGGACGCCCCCCTCTCACCCCACCTCTAGTTTCCAAGACAGGAAAGAAGTAGGGGAGATAGGAAGACACCCCAGATTTCTTCCCAAGCTGAAAGAACTGGAAGTAAGCAGATTGCCAAAGGCCTGGGCCAGCCCCAAACACACACACGCGCACACACACACCTCTTTGGTGGCCTCTTTTGCCCCATCCTGGATTTAGGAGGGAAAAGGTGGGGAGCAAGCCGGGGGAAAAAGGAATCTCAGGGAGCGGCGGGCCCTACCTGTGCTGGATCGCGCCTTGGGCCTTGACTTGCACCCGAAGCCGGTGGGCGAGCCCCCCAGCAGGCTGCTGGGCGGGAAGAGTCCGGAGCCGTACTCCGGCACGTAGGGCGGGTAGGTGGTGATGGCGTGGTGGGCCGAGGACGACGCCCCTCCCAGGGTGGTCATGCTGCCGCGGGAGTGCGTGGCCTCCAACTTCATGCTGTCGGGCAGCGGCACCTGGTACTTGAGGCACTCTTTCTCGTCCTGCCGGGCCGAGCCGGCGGAGCCTGGGGTGGACAGCGACGGGTCCGGGGAGACATCCTTCGGTGGGGTGGGCGGGAAGGTGAAGAGGTGCGGGCTGGAGTGGCCCGCCGCCAGCGAGGACGAGGAGGCCGGGGGGTAGACGGACAGCGGCCCCGGGGAGCCGTGGTGGATGGACGTCTTGGAGAAGGGGCTGAGGTTCCAGGGCGAGGCGGTGTGGTGGCTGCCCAGGGCTTTGCCGCCATCCAGCCAGGGCAGAGATCCGTGCAGCAGAGGTGGGCGGCACACCTGGCTCCCTGTGGTGCCACGGGGAGGGGAGGGGAGAGGAGGGGACCGGAGAGGGGGACACCTGTGAGACACAGCGCACCTCCAATCTTCCCCCAGGTGCCCCCCCCTCAGCCTCCCGACCCCAAATCCAGGCCTACTACTCCCCGATGTCTGGAGTCCCTGGCCGGCAGCACACACTGGGGGTAAGAGGCTGACTTGGCCCATCTGCCCATCCCCACACCCATGAGTGGCCCAATTCTGTACCACCAAAGGCCTGTACCAGGCAGGACAGAGGTGCTAGCTAGGAAGGGCTGGGGAAAAAGTCCCTGGGCTTCTTTGGCCTCTCCCGGATACACGGTCTAAATCACGTTCCCTAGGGCCCTCTTCATAGAATCTGACTTGATTTATTGGACCAGAGGAGTCCCCCCCCCCCCCCCAACCCCTACCCACCCTATCCCAGACTTAATCCCAGGCAGCCTGATAAGAGAGTCAGCTGTGAATGATGAGGGTTGAAGTGCAGGCTGGCCCACACCAGAGCTGGACGGCAGAACTCCCTCCACCCTAAAGAGAGGCCCAGTAGGCCCAGCTCCCAGCGCCCAGTGCAAGGCCCACACTTGGGGAAGAAGATTGGGCTCATTTTAGCTTAATTTCACCCTGAGATTTGGTACTTGCTCAAAATGGGTAAGGCCACTTCGAAACGCCTAAAGTAAGATTTGCAAAGGTTAGTGCATTGCCCAAGCCTCCCAATGCTGAATTCTGGGGTGGTATGTTGTTTTTTTAAATTCTCTTCCTCACACTCCCCAATCTCGAAGGAGAAGAAAATTAAACACAATCCCCAAGTAGCCTCCAAAGCCACAATACTATGAGGGCAATATGTGAATTTTCACCTGAGACACCAAATTCCAGTTCATGTGTCTATTTTCAACCACGGTGACTCAGACACAAGTGTGTTTAGCCTTGGTTTAAAAACACACAAGTTTTAAAGTAGCCATAACTTGCACAAGGCCACACTCAGAGGATAGATGTAAACTGCAAGTGAAAACCTCCACACTCTTATTGATCTACCTGCCTCACAATTTGACGTTCTTTCTAGTCAACCATCAAAAACAATACTGAAACTAAAAAAAAAATCTTAAGACAGCAGAGGAAGGGGAGGAGAGCAGGGGGGGATGGAGAGTTCTCTGAAGAGCAAGACTTAAGATTCATCTTAATGCAGGAAGTAGTAGAGTAAGTAATATTAAAGCTGCATTTACCGCATTTCCACTTAACTGCTAATCGGCAGAGCATGGGCAAAAAGGGCACCCGATCTGCACATAGTTTTGTTTAAAGCAGGGCTGAGGAAGCCTGCTCCCAGCTCAGCAACTAGGCTACGCTCCGTGATCCTGGGCAAACCAAAGGCAACTCTTCAGTTAGGGGACCACAGCAGACCACCAGCTGGCTAGAGACAGAACACCTCCCTCTTCTCCCCCTGACATTTTGCAAGTATTTTTTTTTCCTTTGAGAACAAACTTCCAGTTTTGCTCCCCTCCTCTTAAAAACCCACAACATTGGGTTTTTTCTTTTTTCTTTAACATTTCAGAACGCTTCTAAAGTTCTCCAGGTGAGGAAAGAGATGGTAATTACTCCTACCTTAAAATAAAATTTAAAAAAAGCTGGTGCTTCTATCCTAAACCTTTAGATGAGAGCCGGTGTAGGGGCCGGTGTAGGCCGGAGGTGAGAAAACCAGGCAGGGCTGCAACTGTGAGCCTGAAAATTTCTGTGCAGCCGGGTATCAGGAACCCCAACATCTCTCCCAACTTAAAGACAGTAAGTAGTCTCAACTCCTAGCCCCGATCAGTCCCGAAATCCAGTCCCCGTTCCCCCCAAGAGGAAGCGGAGATCAGCGTTAAGAACCCAAATGCACTGGGAGTTTGGGGAAAAGGTCAAAGACAGAATTGAGAATAAATACATCTTTGGGGGGGGGGTGGTCTTACAAGCAGGCGCAAACCATTTGAGGGGTGCTAGCCGCAACCACCCCTAGGACAACCCAAGGAGACACCAGGCTACCTGAAAGCCGTGTGGGAGAGCGGATTCTCCCGGCGGGCCTGGCCGGGAAGCCCGGGCCTCGCCCAGGCTGCCCAGGACAGAGAGAGGCCGGCCTCCCGCGGCGGGGACCTCCCGGGCCGCACTACCTGCGGGCGCACGCTGGCGCCCGCCAGGTGAGCGCCGGGCCGCGGGGACCCCGGCCGGGAGGACGCCGGCCCAGACTCTCTCTCTCTCTCTTTTTTAATCAGAACTCACTCTGGGCAACAACAGAGACGCCTTCAGCGCCCATTTCCGGGCTCCGATTGTTTTTTTTTTTTTCTTTCAAATAAACCAGTAACAGCACTCAGGGGCTTTCGCTTGATCTCAGCCTCCCTGCCTCCTCCCCGGACCCCAGGGGAGCCGAGCCGGGCCGGGCCGAGCGCAGCGGGCGCCGAGGAACCGAGGCGTCCCCGGGCGACGGGGGCGGACTCACCGTGGTGGGTCGGAGGGTATCTCTGCACCGTGGCCCTGACCGAGTTTCCGTAGTAGGACGGGACGTGGTTGCCTTGACCGTCGATGTTAAAAAGTACATCCACTTCTTCGGGCAGTGGGTACTGCGCCGGGTCCATGTAGGAGTGGCCGAGGCCGGGGTGGTGCGTGTCCGGGTGCTGCCCGTTGAGGACGGCGGGGTGGTGGTGGCTCACCCAGCGGGGTTGATCCGCCGTCACCTCCATGTCCTCGGCTACGCTCGCGCCCTCTCGCCGGGGCCCGGAACCCGCGCGCGCGCGCGGAGGGAAGAAGCGAAGGGCGATCGGCCTGCGAGGTTGCGGCCGTCGGAGGCCCCCGAGGGCGCTGGAGAGCTGGCTGACGGGTGGATAGAACGCAAAGTCTGGGAAGGAAAGGTGGGCAAATGAAAGGACTGGGGGAGGGGGGAATCTTTCAATGATAGTTTGGAGAGAGAGAGAGAGAGAGAGAGAGAGAGAGAAGCAAGGAGGGAAAAAATCCACAAACTAGATCTAGCAGATTTAAAGCGGGGGGGGGGGGGGGGATCCCAAAAGGGAGACGAGGACGCTGGAATTCTGAAATCAGGTTCTTCCGTCCACGGGGCTCCTCGCCGGCGCTCAGAGGCTGACTTTCCTCGGGTCACCTGCAAGAGAGAGAAGGGGAGATCTGCGTGAGCCGGCCAGGACTGGAAACACCTGAGTCTCTGGAGGAGGGCTACACCGCCCCCCTCCCCGAGTCGCGGCGCACCCCGGGACCAGCACCCCGCGCGCGGAGACCCAGAGCTGGAGAGGCAGACAGCCGGGCTCCGAAGGACACCCCGGGCCAAGCCGGGGAGGGGTGGGAGGTCTCCGGAGGGAGCCTCGCGCTGGCTGGGAGGTTGCCTGCCCCTCGGACACGTCCCTCCCTTGGAGGAGGGGGGGGGACACTGGTCCCGGGACTCTGCCTTTCAAGCCCCTTAGAAAAGATCCCCTTCCCCCCCAAAGAAGAACTGCGTTTTAATTTTGTTAAGTTCTCTTCCCCAAATAAGATGGGAAGAAAAGCAAACTTTAAAATATATATTTAAAAAAAAAAGTCACAGTACCAACCTGGGTAGCGAGGAGCAGGGAAGAAGAGGAGGAGGAGGAGGAGGAGGAGGAGAGTGACCTGCTCGGTCAGATCGTGTAGCTCGCTCTGCCTCGCTCTCTCCGTCTCTCCCTCTTTTCGTCTCTCCCTCTCACTCCCTCTCTCAGTATTTTTTTTTTTTTACAGGGAATGCATTCTTTCTCAAAGTATCAAGACGGCGCCAGGCAGCTCAGTGTTCGCAGACAGCTGTGGCGCGACGCAACTTAAGGAGGTTCTAGTGTCATCCGCGCCGAGGGGGAGGAGCCAGGAGCAGGCCGGCAGGAGGGGACAGGATCCGCGGGCACAAGGAAACTGCAACCCAAACCCGCTCCAGGACTTCGCCTCCCCCTCCCCCCTCCCCAACCCCGCACCCCGCCGCCCCTCCTCCCACCCCTCCACTGACCGGAAAGGGGCGCCGCGGAGGGCGGCCGCGGGCGGAGGGGCCGCGGGCAGGGTGGGCGAGGCCAGCTGGGGTTTAGGGCGGGGGGGGGGTGAGAAGAGGGAAGGGGAGGGGAGGGGAAGGGGTAGCGGGCAGGAGGGGAATTGGCGCTCTGGCCCTTTAAATGTAGCCTTTGCCAAACCGATTCGTTGGGGGCTCTTGGTAAGAGTTTCCCGTCCCCCTGAAACCAGCCTGGCTCCATTCATAAAGTTAATTTCGACCCACGGGCTTTCCTCCTGCAGACTTTTATTTTTTTTAATTGGCAAACTTTTTTCATATTAAATATTGTTGTGGTGGTGGTTATTATTATTCCATCCAGGGTATTGGAGGTTTAGGGCTACGTGCACGTAAAACCGATCGGGGGAGGGGGAAGGTTTCCCGGCCAGGTGTTTTCAGATGTTTTTCCCTCTTGGGCCAATTTCCTAAGAAGGTGAGGAATCGGGCCAAAGGGATCCGTGCCTGCGGACCGGAGCGTACGTGATCCGTCGGATCCGCCCCCCCCCCCCCCCCCGGCCCGGCCCCGGGCTTTCACCAGACCCGGGTGAAAACGCCTCAGCTGTTGCAGTTGTTCTTTCCAGACCTAATAATATTTGTAATCGATGTGTGTGCTTTAGATTCGAGCGACGACGAGAGTGATGGATGGCGGGAAAGAGCTAGGTGTGTGTGGGGGGGGGGGGGGCCCGCTGGGACTCACAGGTCTCCCAAAGTAGAACTAACTAGGTCTGCACTCCGGTGGCAGAACTTTTTCCTCCGCCCTGCCCGCAGCCTCCTCCTGACTCGGGCTCCCGGCATTTCTCCCTCAGCTCTGGAACGCGACCCCTCCACCGATCTCTCCCTATCCCCACCCCCCACCCCTCATCCCACACACCCCTGCCTCCCGGAGACCTCCCGGGCTCAGCGGGACTCTGGACCACAGTCTGCCCCAGGCGCGGCTCTAGGCTAAAGGAGCGCGTCTCCCAGGCGCCTCGTGGAAAGGGGCGTGGTTTTGTGGGGCGTGGCTAGGTAATGGCCAATCAGCGGGCGAGACTGTGGCCGGGCCGCAATTGGCCCGCTGGCGGGCTCCAACCTCTGCGGCCCGGCTCGGTCCTTTGAGCCACTGCATCCCCTAGTGGCGCTCCGGCTTCTGCAGCCGCCCTGGGGGGAAAAAAAAAAACTGGGCTGAGAACAGGGTCAGGGGAGAGAAAGAAGAGTCCCCAGGACCACGCCAGGGCGATGAGTACGAGGATGATGCCCTGGAATGGTCTGAGAGCCTGGTTTGGGTGATTATCTGATTTAAATGTGCTATTCCTTTTTCCATTCCTCTACCCCCATAAAATTCCTCCTTTCAAAAATCCGATTTATGAGAAGGCCATGCCTCAAGTTTAGTCGCGAAGGGTTCCTTTTGGCTAGGCCTTGTGGGGAATGCCTTGTTTTTAAACACGGTTCTTAAAGAAAGATGAGTGGCATTTTATTTGCAAGAATGGGTCCCTCCTAGTTTTGGATTTGTACCTTGAGTCCCCATCTTCCTAAAAACTGATGTTTGAAATTGAGGTTGAATTTCTAGATCCCGAACAGAAAGAAAACACCTAATTAAAAGGGAAAAAAAATCTCCTCCCGCGTGCCTCCTGTGCTTGGTCTTGGTCTTGGCCTAGGAAAAGCGCATCGATTTTCCTTCCATTCTCACCGCTCACCCCTCCTGGGCCAGTCCAGCTGCCCGCATCTCCAGCTCACTGCGCTCTCAAAACCTTTTAATTATTTAGTTACTGCCGAACATCCGCCGGAAACCACTCCAGCAACCAGAAGAGACGACCGTGCGGACATTTTTGCCAAGAGGCCCAGGATTAAAATTAAGGATAGAAATTGAAAGAAAGAAGAAATAAAAAGTGCTGCTTCTCGAGTCCATCCCGGGGGGGCCGATACCAAGCCGCCCAATCCTAATTCACCTTCTCCAAGAGAGCCCCAAATGTGCCTCTTGGGTCCCCCACCTTTGACACCCAGACCTAGGGACCCAATACAGACTAAAGCGAGGCAATCCTCTGCAGGGGGTTGGGGTGGAGAGGCGATGCCAGGACTGGAAGATGTTAACTTCTGAGGCTAAGACAAAAAGAACCCCTTTGGCAAAGGAGGCCTTCCAGTGTTGGGGCGCCTCGCTGATAACGAGGAAGGGGGCAGGATCATTCGTTTTAATTCAATCACTGCGCGCGGAGTCCGGCTGCACTGAGGGTACAGGAGGGCGACCCCCATCCTTGGAAAAATAAATGATCTAAAGGCCCCTGTGGGTCTGGGTGGTTTGAGGCTGGCAGAGAGGGGCTGGGGGGCCTGGGACTCGATGCCCGAGGTAATGGAGCCAGCCTGCAGGGGGTATTTAACATGTAATTCCCAGCCGGTCCGCCCCTGTTCCCGGACTGACAGTGGGTAATTGGGTAAGAGGACGTTGCTCTTTTGATGGCCCGCGCCGGCCAGTCTCGCCGACGCCACACTGGGTTTGACGTCACGGGCCCAGCCCCAGAGTCAGAAGCACAGATGGGGAGGGGGGAAGAAAAGGAGGGGAGGGGGCCGCCGAGGAGGGAGGGCCGAGGTCGGCTCCGGGACCCTCGGGGAAGGAAGGGGGGGCTGGGAAGGGATCGAGGAGGGCGAAGCTGCGGCGCGTGGCCTGAGGCGGGGAGCCAGGCTGCGGGGGTCTGGGTCAGGCCAGGCGCCGGCCTGACCCGCCTCGCCGGCAAACGCAGGCCGAGCTGCCTGCACTCTGGGCGGGCAGGGGGGAGGGGAGAGGGCTCGAGGCTGGGACAGGAGAGGTGGAAGGAGAGAAAGGTGGTCCTGATTCTCAGTTGCCGGTGCCCACCAAGCTGCTCCGGGTCTCCAGCGGAGACGCCAACAGCTCCCCCCTGCAGACCTGACGAGACCCCTCCCCAAGCACCCGGGTGGGAGCTTGGTTGTAGCGAGTTCCTCCTGCGGCCGACCTGACCTCTCGCGTAGGACGGAGGAGGGCCCATCAAGGATGCCACCAGCACCGATGCTTTGGGGGAGCGGGGTGAGGGGAGACCCAGGTCCTGTGAGGGCAAGAAACCTCCCTCGACAGGGGAAGGGTCTAGAAGACGCCCTGGACACCTGAAGTCCAGCGCCCTAGCGCCGCGCGGATGAGGGCGCATCCACCGCCCTCCGAGAAGCGGGGATTCAGGAGCCAGGGCGCGGGGTGGGTGGGAGCCAACTTGGCCCACTGCAGGCCCGGGCCTCCAAGAGGCAGTTGCAGGCATCAAGTTAAGCGGGGTATGTGTGCCCTCTTGGGGAGAGGGTAAGAAACGGAGTCTCTTCTGGGTAGGGATAAACTGAGACACCCACGCCTCGCGCGCGCGCGCGCACACACACACACACACACACATGCCCCGTGTGCAGGTCCCTCCCACCCGCCCCTCCTGGGGGCCCGGGGAGACCCCCCATCTCCACGGAAAGGGGGAACAGAAACTGGAGGCCTCCTGGGTTCCAGGAGGTGGAGCAGGTTCCGCAGCCTCAGCCCTTGGGGCTCGGCGTGGGGGGAGGGGGGGACGACCCAGAAAGGCGGAAATCCACGCAGCCGGCGGCGGCGGCGTCACCCACCCGAGCCTGGCGCCTGGCGCATCCAGGCGAGCTCCGCGGGGCCGAGATGCGGGGAAGGCGTAGCCTCGGGGTGTGAGCGCTGCCCGCCCGGGGTAACCGGCACAGCGGAGCCCGGGGGTCGAAGTCCTAAAGTTACTAATCCAGCGCCGGGGTGGTGAGCGTGCCTCGGACCGCCCGGGGCGGTCATTTGAGCGTGTTTACTTAAGGACTTTGCAAGTCGAGCGCGCGCGAAATAGTCGGATTTCCAGCGAGGCAGCAAATATTTGCAAGCTGGAGAAAGAAGCGGAGCCGGGCCGCGCCGTCGCGTCCCTCCCCCCCGGAGCCGCGGCGCCGGCTGGGGCGGACCCGGACGCACGGTTAAGCACTGAAATGCAGCCCGGGGAACCTGCAGGGCTAGAGGCGGAGGGGGCGGGGGGGAAAGATGGTGAAGGCGCGGAGCCGCACCAGAGGCTAGAAACCAGAGACCAACCCGGGGCTCCGGCGAGCCGGGGCTCGGGGAAGCGTCCTGGTACAGCTCGATCCATCTTCGATCGGTCAATAAAAACGGTGCGAAACGACCGGGGTCCTTTGAGCGTCTGGGGAGGAAGTGGAGGCCAAGAGGTGTCGAGGCCGGCGCCGCCGCCGCCGCCCCTTCAACCAAAACCGAGTTCTCTGCCAGGCGGTCTGCAAAAGTGATCGGTGGGGGCCCGGGCGCAAATAAATCGTGTGGGCCTTGAGAACCAACCGTGTGCGGCTCGGCGGTGGGGCCTTTAACTTGAGGTCTCCATCTTTAACGGTGGCTATTGTTGGAGCAATTAGCCAGAGACAATAACCACCGAGAGGCTTTTAATTCGAGCCGTGCGCTGCCTGCTGCCCAGTCTCGTGCGCTCTCACCGAGTGGCCGGGGCTGCTGCTGCCCGCTTAGGGGAAGTCTAGTTGGGGCTGTGCTGGTTCTGTTGCTGTCCTGCTTTGTTTATGGAGCGGATGTGATCTGAGGGGAGACCTAGGCGAGAGCCACGTGAGACAGGCCCGGCAAGGAAACCCCGTCTTGGCCTTCTCTAAATCCAGTTGTGCGCCTGGGGATCGCCGGTGCCTTTGGGCTGTGCGCGCCCGGGCTGCGGCCGCCGCGCGTGTCCCCGGTGCCTGGTGGATAAAAGCCCAGAGCGCTGGAAATGGAAATCGGCCTTTCTTTCTTTGATTTCTGGGCCGTTTCCCTCCCACCCCCCACCCCCGCCCCGACCTGGGCCACCTAGTCCGTTCTAGCTTCCCAAAGGGGG